GGGGGGGGGGGGGGGGCCGGCCAGCATCAGGCCCGTTTCGACAGCGACGCGGCCCGCCGGAGAACGCATCAGCACGCCCGCTCCCCGACATGCTCCGGCTTTAGAAGGGGCCAGCCCGGCCCCCGCGCCCGGACGCGGGCCCGCGAGCGCGAGCACGGCGGGCGCTCGATCGGCACCAGAGCACCGCCCCCGGCGCCCCAGGGGCGGCGGGGGACGCGTTTGGGTCCAAGGATCCCCGGATGGGCGCGCGAGCGCGCGCTCCGGGTGCACCCCAACCCTCGGGGTGCTCTGTCGGGCGAGCCGCAGGGGGCGGCCCCCGCCGCAGGGCGCCGGATTTAACCGCCCTGGTCGGTCCCGGTAGCATGCGGTTCCGCCACCGCCGGGGGACCGGCCCCGGGGAACGAGAGCGAGAAAGACAGCGAGAGAGAGAGAGAGAGAGAGAGAGAGAGACAGAGAGAAAACCCCACCAAAAGTGGGGAACACAGGATGAGCCACAGCGAGAGGGAGTGAGGGAGGAAGAACCGCGATTGACCCCCGGTCCCCCCGGGGGCGGGGGGGGGGGGGGGGGGGCCCGGGGGCGGCGGGACAACCGTGCGTTTTCCAGGACCTCGCCCGGGGCCGGGAGAAATTCAGGGCTGTGGCCGTGGATCGCTGTTTACCTCTCTGCCCCTCCCCCCGCCCCTCCCCCCGACTAGGGATCCCGGCGCCTCGCCCGCGGGCGGTCAGAAGCGATGGCACTCGGCCTCGGAGCCCCGGGTGCCAACGCACTTCCCGCCTCGCCCCAGGTGTCCGCAGTGATCGGGGCCGTCCCCGGGGCGCGCCTTCGGACGCTGGCAGCCAGGGAGAGGCCCCCCCCCCCCCCCCCCCCCCCCCCCCCCCCCCCCCCCCCCCCCCCCCCCCCCCCCCCCCCCCCCCCCCCCCCCCCGCCCCCCCCCCCCCCCCCCCCCCCCCCCCCCCCCCCCCCCCCCCCCCCCCCCCCCCCCCCCCCCCCCCCCAGAAGCCACTGCCCCCGGCCTCCGGGGCCCCGGTGCCAACGCACTTCCCGCCTCGCCCCAGGTGTCCGCAGTGATCGGGGCCGTCCCCGGGGCGCGCCTTCGGACGCTGGCAGCCAGGGAGAGGCCCCCCCCCCCCCCCCCCAAGGACGGAGACAAATGCCAGCCGCCCGTCGCGGGAGGCTTTCCCACGGCCGCGGCAGCGACCACCCGCCTCCCCCCTCTGCCCGGCCCAGCCCTGCGCCCCTCCCTCAGCACGCACACACGCCCATCCACCGACCCGCCCATCCGCCCTTCCCTCGATATCCGCCCACCTCCCCAGTGGACCCTTCTTGCCGGCTCCCGGGATCTGCGCGGCGAAGATGACCCCGTTCGAGGCCTTCTGCGCGATCAACCCGGCCGACACGGCCCAGGTGCGCCCCCTCCCGGGCTCGGCTCCCGCCCTTGCCTTTCTCGGACTCTCCCCCCTGCCCCTGCCGCGTGCCCCTGAAACTGGAACCTGACGCGGTCGCCCCCAATCAAGGTCGTGCAAGCTGGCCACAAACTGCTTCACCAGTCCGGACCTTCTCACGGCGAAGAGTGTGCGTCAGCAGTCAGCCTCCCGGTCTTTTGAGACCCTTTCCCTCCTTTTCTCCTCCTCCCCCCCCCCCTGGACACTGCTCCGCCGGTCCAAGCGTCATGCTGACTCGGCTGCATCGGGCCCCAGACTGGTCCATCTGCGAACGCGTGCTCATCGCGGCTCTCGACCGCTTCGACCACTTCCGGCCGATTGCTGCGGTACGGTTTCTCGCGCGCGCGCGCGCGCGCGCGCGCGCACGTGCCCGCTGCCTCTGGCACGTCGCCTCCTCGTCAGTCCATTGACCGAGCCCGCTCGTATCGGCACCCGCACCCGCACCCGCACCTGCACACATTCAGGACTGTCTCGGGCGGCTTGAGAAACAGTTTGGCTCACGCAGCCTGCGCATCATGCGCCTGGCCGGCATGTTCGAAGAGGCCAAGGGCGACTTCGAAGCTGCGGCCGTGGTGTACCACCAAATCCTTGAGCGCGATCCCTCGAACGCGGTGCGCACCCCCCCCCCCCCCGCCCCCCCCGCCGCTCCCCGGACTCGGGCCGTGGGTGTGCATGTCACGAAGAGCGACTGACTGTGTCCTTGCCACTCCGGCTGCCGGGGCCTCGGGCAATGAAACCACCACCCCCACCACCAGGGCGCCATGAAGCGCCTCATCGCGCTGGCCGGCCAGCTGGAGGATGCCTCGCGCATGGTCACCCTCCTGGTGGACTACCTGGAGATCTACATGAACGATGCCGAGGCATGGAAGCTGCTGGCGTCGCTCTACTGCCGGAGTAGCTGCTATGAGCAGGCGATCTTCTGCTACGAGCAACTGTTCGTCATCCAGGAGACCGCCTCCTGTCGGATTCTCTGCGCGGAAGTGCGTGCCCAGGAGGTGGGGGGGGGGGGCATTTTCTTTCCGCCTCCGGTCCCCAATGCTGGACCCTCCCATTGGCCTGCTCCTCCGCCTGCCCCCTCCCCGCGCTGACATTGCATCTCACTGGGGCCGGGCCACAATCGTGCCACAATCGGCCATTGGGGGGGCGGGACCCCTGCCCGCTGCCCACCGCAAGGCTCTCTACACCCGTGGGGACATTGAAAGCTTGGTCCTGGCCCGGAAGTACTACTGCCGGGCGTTGGAGCTGACCAGCTCCTCCTCCGGGACTTCGGTCCGGTCACCGACCTCCATCAGCAATGCTGTCACCTGTGGCGAGACGACGCGCGCCCTGCAGGGGATCTTCCTGGTGCGTTCGTGCCTCCCGTGGGATGCCCTGCTCGCTCTTTTGCCCGGTAGCCCGGGGATCGCCAGCCGCCCGTCCTGACCCTCCTCCCCCCCCCTCCTGTCCCCCTGGCACATGAGCAGACCTCGCAGCGCTTGCTCCGGCTCCGGTCCCGCTCGCCGGCCGACCCGGCCATCGACCCGGAGCAGCATCACCGTGATCAGCTCATGGACGAGTCGATGCTCCGGCGCTCGGCCGAGAGCCTCCTCTCGGTGTTCGGGTCTGCCCGGGCGCCGTTCCCCGTTCGCCAGTCCTTCCATGCCCTGCTGCTGAGCTCCCTGGACCCGGACGCAGCCAGCCGCGCTGCCAATGCCGCTGCCACCCCGGTCGAGCCGGCTACCCCGCGCAAGTTGGCCCCGGTTGAGGCCTCCCCCTCGGTGCCGAGCTCGATCAGCTCCTCGGCGGCCTCCTCACCGGCCCTCGCCGATGAGGGTGACCCGCCGGTTGCCTCACCGGAGACCACCTCGGCCCCGGGTGACGCCGGCTCCTCGCCATCGCCCTCCTCCGGCCCGCAGACGCCCGAGAGCTCTGGCCATGATTGACCGAATAAACACCCACCTGCCTGCCTGCCTGGCATTCGAGATCCTCCTCTGGCCTTGGCCTTCATGTTCCGGCACATCTGGCCACGGGCTGTCCGGCGTCGAATCCCCCGGCAGCCGGGCGGCCGGGCGGCCGGGCGGCCGGGCGGCCGGGCGGCCGGGACACCGGGGGAATGCCACTGCCGAGCCGGGGCCTTCGGCCCGGATCGCGCGCGCGGCCGCCGTGTCCCCCCCCCCCCCCTCCGAAAGCCGGCATGTGGAGGCGGGGCGGGAAAATAAAGGGAAAAATAAAAACATGCCCATTTAAATGTCCCTCTTTTTGGGGGGACACCATCTTTGGCCCACGGTTGCCTTGAGACCGCCCGGCAGCCGGGGTCAGACTGACCCATTGCTCCGTTGGCAGACACCGCCAGCCGCACGCGCGCGCGCGCGCGCCCATGCTTGCGCCCGGCCCCCGGGCCAGGCGGGCTCCTTTTTTTCGGGGCCTCTCCCCCGCGCGCTGGCAACCCGCCGGGATGGCCAGCGCAATCCACCCCTCCCCCACACGCATTGCTCCCCTTTCCCCCCCCCCCCCCCCCCCCCCCCCCCCCCCCCTCCCCCCCCCCCCCCCCTCGCCCCTTGCCCGCCATGTCCGACAGCGCCTTCCGCCAGCCGTTCTCCTTCATCCTCGATGCCCGTGACAACATCGTCCTCATCTTCGGCAATGACTTCCAGATTGTGAACAAGGCGTGCGTTAGTCCCCCTCCGTCTCTCTCTCTCTCTCTCTCTCTCTCTCCGTCTCGCGCGCTCTCTTTCTTCGTCTCTCGCGCTCTCTCTCCCCGTCTCGCTCTCTCTCTCCCTCTCTCTCCCTCTCTCTCTCTCTCTCTTGTCTTGAGCCTCCTTCTCTCGCCCCTCCCCACTGACCCACACTCCTGCCCTGCGGCCCTGCAGCTCCGCCACCATCACCCACTCGACCCGCGCTGTGGAGGGCGCACACCACATCGAGGGCGGCCACACCACCCCCATCGTCGCGGCTGCCCTTTCGCCCGGCCAGGGGCACTTTGTGACCAGCTCCAACGACCGCATTGTCACCATCTGGGACACTGCCACCTGGACGGTCAAGTCCTCGCGGTATGTCGACATCCCCCGGCCCCCTTGCCCTTCCTCCCTCGTGGCCACTGACCATTGCCCGCCCCACGCACGCCGGCACAGCCCGGTCAACAAGCGTATCACCTCCATCAAGTTCAACAAGGACGAGGACACCTTCATCGTGGCCGACAAGTTCGGTGACCTCCTCTCGTGCGTCTCCGCCGCACATTTCCCGGGCCCCGCCCGGTCTCCCTCGCCCCCGGGCGTTTTCCTCGGACCCCTGTTCTTCCGCCCCACTCACCCCCTGGCTCCGGAACTGACCGCCCGCCCCGCCCCCCCCCCCCCGCCCCGCCCCGCCCCCCGGCCCCGCTACTCCAGCATCAACATCAACAACACCGAGACCCTTACCCCGCTGCTCAGCCACCTGACCATCGTCACGGACTTCGTGCGTTTCTCCCCCGACTCCTGGCGGGTGTGGCGGCCCTCCCTTCCGGATCTCCGCCGGTATCCCCTCTTCTCCCTCTCTTTCCACCTCCCTCTGACACATGTGTCCCCCTCGACCTCCGGCCTTCTGGGCGCCCTGCCCAGGCCTTCGCTCGTGATGGGTCGGAGATTGTCTCGGCCGACCGTGACGAGAAGATCCGCATTTCTCGCTTCCCCAAGTGCCATCTGATCGATGGGTTCTGCTTCGGCCATGACTCCTATGTCACCCGGCTGCAGATGATGGCCGGCGCCGGGCCCGACGCCTCGGACATCCTGCTCAGCGGCGGCGGTGATGGGCTTCTGATCGCCTGGAACCTCCTGACCGGCTCGCTGGTCCAGCGTGTGTCCATCACCGACATGATCGAGCAGCGCTTCGCCGCCGGCCAGGACGCCGAGAAGCAGGACGTACGCCGATGCCCATGCGGCGCTTTTCGTGGCCTTGCCTCCCCCCCGCCCCTGCCGCACCGACACGCACATACCCTGCGCCCCTCCCCCCCTTTTTTCTTTTGGCCCTCGCCCCTCTCCTCCTGCTTGACTGGCTCACTCCGTGCGTCTCTTGCTTTCCTTGATTCCTGCCACCATGCACACCCCTCCCTCAGGTGGACATCATGGCCATCGTTGCCACCTCGGACCAGAAGCATGTCGCCGTTGCCGTCGAAGAGTACGCCCGCCGCTCCCTGCCTCTCTTTGCGCTTTCGCCGCCTCGTGTGGCTGACCGCCCTCTCCCTCCCCCAGCTACCCGGGCATTTTCGTCTTCAACTTCGATGCCTCCGCCGCCGAGCCTCTTTCTTTCTCGCAGACCCTCCGCGTGTCGGCCGACCATCGCCCCACTGCCCTGGCCATCGATGCCGAGGGTCGTCTCTTCGTTGGCTGGTCCAACGGCACCCAGCTCCTGTCGGCCTTTGACCTTGTCAACGGCAAGGTGCGCCTCGCATTTGCCAGCCGAGCGTTGTTCTCTCGCTCCCTCTCGCCCTCGCCCTCTCTTGCTTCCCTGCCCGTCATCGCCTCTTGCTCACCCGAAAATGCCGTTCCCACAGTTCGAGCAGTCTTCTGCGGACATCGTTACCACCATCAACAACAGCTCCTCAGTTCGTGGTACGGCTTTGTCCCTCGTCTGCCGAACAGCTGGGGTGCCCCTCCTCCCCCCCCCCCCTCTTGCCGAAGGGCCCTCGTCTCACCTGTCTCCCCTGTCTAACCCGCCTCCTTACCCCATCCGAATCCCCTTGCTTCCTCAGTTGTCACGGTCCCGAGCATGCTGCAATACCTGCAGCTCCGCTCCGGGGCGCAGAAGACTCGCGTCCTCGGTCGCGAGGCCGTCCGCGGCGACACCGACCTCATGGACGAGGATGCCGAGCAGCCAGATGCCAAGCGTGTCAAGACCGACGAGTAAGGCGGTCGCTCTCCCCCCCCCCCCCCCCCGTGTCGGGAGCACTTGCTCTTCCCTTCCCCGGGCTCAGACATTCGCACTGCTCCTCTTGCCACCTGTTCTCTTCTCGCCCGCCGTTCCCTCCCCCCCTCCCCCCCTCCTGACGGACATGTGTGCAGACACACAAACACATACAAGCACGCATGTGCACGTCCCTCTCCCCACTCTTTCATGCCGAAAAAAAAATAGATCCCGTCCCTTCTGCAATGCCCCGGACCGTCGATGGCGATTTCCTCCGCTTCCCTCTGTTTGCCTGGAGCCCCTCGGCGACCGGCCCGCCGGGCCCCTCTTCCCCCCCCCCCCCCCCCCCCCCCGTCCCCCCCCCCCCCCCCCCCCCCCCCCCCCCCCCCCCCCCCCCCCGGCCCGACACACGAGAGTCCACCATGTGCAACCACCCCCGCGGCAAGTACGACGCCGGTGTTTGTGGGATATTTCATTGCCCCCCACCCGCCACGCCGAGCTCGTCGTCCTCGCTAGAGGAGGCCGAGTAGACGGCCTCAAGCTGTGCCCGGCGGCCAGCCGGTCCCCGTGACCCGAGTCCCATGGTGCGAAAGCGCCGAGTCAGGCGGTCGGGCAGGTCGACCTGCCCTTTGGTCGACAGGGCCGGCAGCCGGCGGGCCCCGGCGACCAGCGCCTCGAAGCAGGCCAGCTCCCGGAGTCCATCCAGCGGCTGAGCGTGCCATGGTGTGTTAGTGTGCGGCCACAGGGCAGGGTCCATGGAGGGAGCGAGAGGGGAGATCAATGGACAGCAGGGGATGGGCGAATGGCCCGGCCCCGCCGCAAGCCGGTGTCGTGCCTGAATGAGGTGGGTTCGGTCGTCGACCGGGGCAAAGGCCACCGGCAGGGGGCCCTCGTGTGTCAGGAGCACCGTGAACTTGGCCATGGCCACGGTTTCAGTGGGTGCTTCGACAAAGGTCGGATAGGGGGTGACCATGTCCTTGCTGGCCAGGTCTGCAAGGCCAAGCCGGATCGCAGCCTCATCACCGAGAGATCTACCACCCGGCAGGGAGGGATGTCAGGGAGGAGGGGGGGGGGGAGAGACAGAGGGAGGGGCACAGACATCAGCATGGAGAGGATACGGGTGGGAGGGGGGCGGAGGGCCTCCACAGCGGGGAGCAGGACAGCATGGCGCACCTCACCGAGAAGGGGAAGACACTGTGGTGCTCGGTGATCTGATTGAGAAGAGTACGTGAAGCACGCAGGCGAAGCTGGGTCGAGAAGCCCAACGGCTGGCGCGCGTAGATGTTCGGTCGTGAGAGGGCCGGATGCGCGGCTTGCGAGGCGAGACGACATGACCCGGTCCCGGTGGACAGTAAAATCGAAACGGCATACACCTCGCCCTCTTCGAAGGTAATCCCATCACGCGGGTGTCGGCCATCCTTTGCTCCGAGGGAGAAGGACTTGTGTCCTTCAACAAGCTCCCGGTGCAGCGATGTAGATAAAATGCCTGGCATACAGGGGGGGGGAAGGGGGGAAGCAGGTGCGTTTAGCCGGCCGTGAGGCACGCCGAAAACAGGTGGGGGAGGAGAGAGAGGGAGAGAGAAAGAAGGGGGGGGGAGAAGAGAAAGGCAAGACCGAAATCAGGGAGACCGCGAGAGGAACGTGCGCACACATACCTGGGATAACATTGCAGCGGAAGTGTGCGGCCACTTGGCTGATGGCGGCCCGGAGGTCGGCGCATCGGTGCCCCGGCCGAAGAAGCTGCAACGCGGCCAGGCTGGCGTAGTGCGTGGCGCTCAGGAGGTCCGCCAGCCGGGGGAAATCGGCGACCGGCGAGTCGGCCCCATCACCGGGCGGCACGTGCACCGTGGTACCAGCCATCACGGGGAAGGTGTTGAAATGGACACCAAGCTCACTGGTGCAGCAGAGGGCAGTCACAGGGGGTGGACCATGTAAGTGGCAAAGCCGTGCAGGGGCAGGCGCAAGGCGAGTAGGCGCGGGCAGACGCGGGGGAAGTACATTTTGACAATGTCCCCGGGGTTGATGAACATCGGCGGATCGGTTTTCAGCGGACAGCAGTTGCCGATGATATTGTTGACGGCCACCGAGGTGGGAAAGGCCACGCCATGGCGAAACTGCCGGTAGTGCCGAGGGATGGTGCCCTGCGATTCCAGGATGTGCCGGTCACCGAGGATGCAGAGGTCCAACACCGAGGCACCCGGCTGACAGGCATCAACCACAGCAGCAAGGGCACCTACGGGAAAGGGGGCCACAGGGGACGAGGTGAGTGCACGCCAGCGAAGAGGGCCCCGGCGGAGCCCCATGGCGGAAGGGATGGCGCAAGGGGGGGGGGGGGAGGGGGGAAGAACACGGACCGTTGGCGATCGAAGCGGCAATCTGGTAAAAATTCCGCACATCCGGGTTGACAATGGTGTCTTCTATGTCTTCAAAGCACTCGGACTGCCGGGGAGGGGATGGGGAGGGGAGGGGGGAGGGGAGGGGGGGACATCGAAGGAGGCCAGAGTCAGCAAGCGAGCGCTCGAGGCCGGCTGGCAGGTCCGGGACAAAGGGCGGCGCACCTGGAACTCGCGCTCCAGCTGGCGGCGGCCGCGGCTCATGGTCGCGTGCCTCAGGATGCAAGGGCCGCGGGAGGAGAAAAAAGCCCGAAAAGCAGAAGGAGAGGGGCCCCAAGGTGGGCAGAGTGAGGGTGTGCGTGTGTCTGAATGCGAGGGGCGAAGGAGGAGGAGGAGGAGGAGAAGGAGGAGAAGGAGTCTCATGAGGCTCCATCTCCCGGGGGAGGGCCGGCCCCGGTGTCCAGGCAGTTGAATGGCGCCGATCGCGGAGCGCAGGGGCGCCGGGAGGGGAAAAAAACATCGGCCTGGGCGCCTCGATGCGGGGTGCCAGGCACGCTGGAGGGGGGGGGGGGCAAGCGCGCCAAGCGCTTCGGCGTCCTGACGCAAGGCCGAGCCGATCGGGCGGGTGGCGGCCCGGGGGGCGTGGGTGGGGGGGGGAGGGAGCGGGGCACAGCTGCCGACGGATCGTGAGCGCTCGACGTGATCTCAAGTCCGTGGGCGCGTATTGTCCGCGGCCCTTGCGGGTACCGGGGGGGACTTTTGGTGCCGGCGCCGGTGGCCGGCAGCGGGGGCCCCCCCGGTGCGGCTCTACGTGCAGCTTTAGAGTCTTTTCATCGTGCCCACACCCACCAGGGCCCGGTGAGCCGCGCAGCACGTAGACCGACCGCTCAGGGGCCCTCTCCGGGTCCCTGCGCATGCGCCTGGCCCAGCCGCGCGCCTCCGGTGCCCCGTCCGGGTGCTCGCACGCAAGTGCGGGCCCCGGGCCCGATCGGCACGCTCCTCCTGGGGCGCGTCGGTCGGCGCGTGGGCCCGGGGCGCTGGGCAAGGTGTACAAACACACCCCGCCATCTTCCTTCTCTTGCCTCTCTCCCCCCCCTCCCGGCTTTTGACACATGCCCCTTTCAAATAATCGAATCCCTCTCGCGGGGCCGGCCACCGGCACGGTGCGCTTCCCCGCCGCTCGTCCTCTCGTTCTCCCCCGGGCCGGGCCTGGCCGAAGGCGCCCACCTCCATGTTGAGGGGATGGTGTTTTGGCCAGAGAAAGAGAGAGGGGGGGGGTAGTATGTTTTGTGTGGTGTATTTCCCATCGGCCGGCGGATGCCGATGGACAGGGGGGAGGGGGGCAGGGCAGGCCGGCCCAGAGACACGGAAAAACACCGTGTGTCACTGTAGATCGCGCGCCAGGCTGAGGCCGCCGCCGCCGCCGGATTTTCCCTTCTTCTCGTAGAAAAGATCCATGCGTGCGGTGCCGACATTGACGATCTTCGGGCATCCGTCGCGCTAGATTCGGTGGGTGAGTGAGTCGGATTTGCCAGGGCACAGTGCGTTAGAGAGGCCAGAAGAGGGGGAAGCCCGGGCATTTGGACGGACGCAGGTGCGGGCAGTGTCGCAGCACAACGTACATCCTTCTCGAGGATGGTGCACTCCTTGCAGTAGTACGCGTCAGACACACCGACATTGCCGCAAATGACACAGCGGCCCTGGGGAGAGCAGCGCATGAGGGAAAAGGGGGCATGGGGGAAAAGAGTGCATGGGAGAAAAGGGTGCATGGGAGAAAAGGGTGCATGGGAGAAAAGGGTATCTGGGTAAGTACATGGAAGAGGGCAGGGCGAGAGAGAGAGAGAGAGAGAGAGGAAGAGAAACAGAGAGGCAGGCAAACAGAGGGGGGGGAAAAGTGGCGAGTCACATCCAAAAAGAGGTCGCACTTGGAGGGAGCCAAAGTTGCAGTCATCGCAAATGCGAACCAGCGTGGCCGGGTGCACGAGCGAGTCACAGACAACGCACTTGCCGTCGCCTGGCAGAGACAATGACGGGAGGCCGAAAAAATGAGCAGGTAAGTAGGCGCTCCCGCAAAGAACATTGGAAGGAATGGTGGCAGACAGGCAGGCACAAGGGATGCCGACGCACACTTGTCGCAAAGGCGGCCAATCGCGACGCCAGGCTGCTTCTGGCACATAATCAAATCCGAGTGATGGCGAGCCATGGTGGGCGGGGGAGGGGGAGGGGGAAAGGAGGAAGGGAGGAAAAAGAAGGGAGATGGGGTCCTGGCTGCCGGACACCCCCGGGGGCGGATGATGCGCAGCCAGCGCGCGCCCTTTTCTGCCCGGCGACGGTGGGAAGCGTGTATCATGGGGAGACTCTATCATGTGACCCCGCCACATGCATCGTTGTGGGCTAGTTCGATGGCTCGGCGTCGGCGGGCGAGGATTGCCCACCACCCGGGGAGCCCCCTTGGGTGTGGCGGGGGCCGCTTTCATCGGGTGGGAATTAAATCCCTTCCCCGGCGGCCACTGGCGGCCTCCTGCCCCCGCCATTGGGGCGATGTCTCCCACGACCCCCTCCGGCCGATCGAGCATCGAGTCTCCCGCCTGCCAAACGACCCGGCCACGCTTTGCCCCTCGGGGGGTGGGCCCTCGCCCCCCCCCCCCCCCCCCCCTTGTCATGGTCTGCTCGTGGGGCCACACCGACGAAGCGGCGAAGGGGCTGCCTCGACGGCCAGATCGCGCCGGCCCGGGGACCGCCACCGGCGCATTTGGTTAGCTCAACACACCTTGACCGAGGCTCGCCGCCATGGAGCCGGATGGCTGGCCCACAGCGAGTCAGGGATCAAGGGCGTCCATCCTGGGAACGGCCGCCGCGCAACTTGGCCCAGCACGCCCCGATGCAGCCTTCCTTGGCCTGCCCTTCCCTTTTGCCTCCTTTCCCCCTGGCCCTCACACAGTCCCTTTCCAGAGTGGAGTCTCCCTCGCCCCCCCCCC